GGTAAAGGCAGAGAACCTTGACACAATGTTTTTAATCTTCTCTGAAGAGCTTCTAGAGGAGATGGGCAGAAAATTAAAGAAGATAAAGATATACTTTCTTTGGGCATTCTCGTGAATTACTCACAACTCCCCCTCACTTGATCTCTCACACTTCACTCTCATAATCTCTTCCACACACTCACACTCAATGGACACTCTCAAGAGAAATTCACAACAAAGGTATTTAAGTCAGTTTCTAGGACTCTTTATATAGCCAAGACATGAAGAACCATCCAAAAACTTAAAATTTCAAGTGAAACATCTTTGAATCGTAGATCATAAAGTATGAATAGTTCAAAGATCAGGGTTTCAATTGGTAAGAATTGGCATGAGCATAGTTTCATACACTATCAGTCATCTGTATGACCTGACTTCCTACTATATGAAGTGTTCAGAAGTAAACAAGTTTGTATTGTATGATCTGGTATGAATGAAATTTCATAATATGTTAGTCATTTGTATGACTTGACATCATACTATATGAATTATTTAAAAATGAATAAGTTCACCTAGTATGATCCAGTATGAATGAAATTTCATACTGTGTTAGTCATCTGTATGATCTTATATTATACAATACAAACTATTCAAAAATGGACAAGTTCTTCTTATATAATGGTACAAATGAAATTTCATACTCTATTAGTCATCTGTACGGCCTTACATCATACTGTATGACTAGTCTAAGAAATTCAAGCCATGAGTTGATTAACTACATTTGGATAGAAAGAAAAGTCAAATCATTTACTATGACTAGATATCATACAATATGATTAGTTTTAAAAATTAAAGTTTTTACTCTCTCACCCTATGTGTGTGTGTAAGGTTACCTAATTAAAATCACACTTGCAAGACTCAAGAAAAAAAAATTAATAAATCTTAAACAGCATGGGGATATTTAAAATTCATCCTATTTTTTTTTCTTTTTTTTTTTTAATAAAGAAACATAAAATAATCTACAAGGAAAACAAAAAAAAAAAAAAGACCTTAAAAAAAACAAGCATGACACGACCATGTTCAAAAAGAAAACCTTCAAAATAAACATAAACCCCCCCCCCCCCTGAGAGCATTGTAACAATCTTTTTGACACCAAACCAAATTAAACACAAATAAAACTCAAAGAACTTTAAGTAAAAAAATAAACAATGATATCAAACTAATCAAAGAACTTCAAATCAAAATACAAATAGTGGTATCAAACCAAACACAAACAACCTCCCCCTTTATACATCAAAAAAAAGAGAGGAAAATGACAAAAAAACTATTGAATATGTAAGTTATTATTGGCAAATCGAGATGTTAATAAGGAATATAATGTGAGATAAAAAAATGGACAACATTAAAATCCTAAAAGATTTTTAAACTCATATTTAAATTGAAGAACAAATAAGAAAAGAAAAGTTGATCAGGTTTAATATTCATTCTAAAAAGCAGAAATATCAAATAGAACAATTATCACAAAAATATTTGACAAGAAAAAAATTTCATATTCAATAGTTGAAATACTGTTTATCGCAAGGATTTTTCTAAGAATTAAATATAGAGATGAAAGAGACGAATGTTGTGTGGGCTCATTTTATGCCTCTTCTCAATTATAATTGAGATGTTGTTTCAATTATATATCATTTGATTTTGACTTTTGTTTGGTAAATAATATGCATCTTTTCAAGTTGGGCTCATATTCTGCCTCTTTTTTAATTTGGCACTCTTTGTGCATCTTTTGGCACTTTATTTTTTCCACACCTTTAATCAACAAATCTTAGCTTGTATGTTTATCTTCTAAATGAAAGAAAAAAAAAACTTTTATAAAGAAGATTAAACCATAAAACAAAATCCAATGGAAAATAATAAATGCAGCACTTTGAGTGTTAGGAATCCTTTGGCTTCTTATAATTATTGTCCGATTAGTCCTTGTAAATCTATATACAAAATTACAGCTACGATTTTGTTGAATATATTAATTCTTATTATTCCTAACATCATATCTGAGGAACAAGTGGCTTTTATTAGAGGAATATATATTTTAGATCATATTTTATTAGCTCATGAAATATTCAATAAAATCATATTTATGAAGGCTAATAAAGGATTTCTGGCGATTAAGGTGGATGTGGAGCAAGCATATGACAGTATATGTTGGTCAACTTTGAGATTAGTTTTGGATTACTTCAGGTTCTCGAACAAATTTGCAAACCTTATTATTGAATGTGTTAGGGATGCTAAATTTTTAATTATGATCAATGGTTGTAATTCAAAATGTATAGAGGTAAGAAGTTGATTTCATCAAGGGTGTCCATTATGTCCCTTCTTATTCATCATCTGCTCTCAATTACTTTTAGATGCATTTTTTTAAAGAGGCTAGAACATTGGGATTAAGATTTCATCTAATGCTCAAATAATTTCTCATTTATTGTATGTAGATGATATCTTATTTCTTTTGAATGCTAAACCCAAATGTGTGAAGAAGATGAGGAAAATTTTATTAGACTATTGTAATTGGTCTAGATAGAGTATCAATTCTAAAAAATCTCCTATTATTTTTGTTAAGATAGTTAATATGAGTAGAAGGAATTGTATCTCTAACTTATTGGGTTTCAATGTTTTCAAAGAGTTGGACTACCTTGGAGTGAAGTTGTCTTTACGCTTGATGAGAAAATCCTATTTTCAATATTTGATTGAGAAGGCTTATTCTAGATTGAATGTTTAGGGAAATAGATTATTTCCTTAGCTGGCAAGATGATTCTTATAAAAATGGTCTTTCTTTCTTTTCCATTATTTCTTTTACCCCATTCTCTAGTGCCTAAAAGTATTTGGAAAGAATTTTACAAAATATGCAGAAAATTTATTTGGAAGAAGCATAATGGTGATCATGGTCTTCACTATGTTGCTTGGCATACTTTGTATAGATAAAAGGAAAGGGGAGGACATGGGATTTTTTCTTCTGTAGTAAAGATTGGTCCATTAGGAGTGAGATTCACTTGGAATCTTATTAATAATCCTACCTTTTTACTTAACAGAAGCTTGATTGCTAAATATGGTGAGAATTTCTAGTTTATGGAATCAAAGAAAAATGCATTTTTGACTTATAAGATAATTATGGATGGAGCTAATTTTTTTCAGAATATTGTGAAATGGAAAGTATCAATTGGTTATTATATTAATGTATTAAAATATACTTGGATCCTTGATAGAAGGTTGGATAGATGGCCCATATTTATTGATGATTTTGAGGATGATTCAAAATCACTGGATTATTTTATCTTGCCTGGAGATTGGAATGTTGATAGGTTGGAACAATGTTTTGGAAAGGAACTTAGAAAGCATATTATTCAAGTGCAAATTTTCTCGGAGCTATTACAAGATTGTATAGAACTTATAGCCAAATTTTTTTGTAGATCAATAATTACTTTAGCATCTAAGGCGGTGAATGAAGATCATGTAGTTGATAATTTCTCGAAATGGTTAAAAAAATTGAAGCTAAACTCTCGAGTGGAGATATTCTTTTGGAGGTTATGAAATAATTCAATTCCAACAAAAAAAAAAATTATATCAGAAAAGATTATTTGATTATAATTCTTCTCCTAGAGGGTGTATAGCTGTGTAAAGTATTGATCATGTTGCATCCAATTGTTTGAAGATAAATCAAATTATTGAAGTTTTGAATGCATGGGGATTTTTTATTCCTTCTTTTTTTATTGGAGGAATGCATAGTTGAGTTAAAGAGGTTAGCTAATTCTATTCCCTTTGTTTCTAACATGTATTGTACCCCTCTTTACTTCTCTTAGAAAAGTAGGAATAAGCTTAAGCATGTTGGGGTTAAAGATAGTCCTTCTTTTATAGCTTCAAATGTGGTTAGCTTTGTAGCATCTTCTTTTCAATATAATCTTATATTGGATCACTAGGGTGTTAATCTTCTTTTTGAGCTGTCTTGTAATGTTTGGCACCCTCCTCCTGATTAGATTAAAGTTAATATTGATGCTACTTTGTTAAGGAATAATATGGCTAGTGTTGGTGGAGTTTTTAGAGACAATTATGGCAGATTTTTGTTCGCTTTTGGTTTTCAATGCTTACACTGGGATATTGCACAACTAGAACTTCAATCTATTACTTCTTTAAAGTTGACCATACAGAGCTGGATGTTTGAGGCTAAAGGCTTAATCATTGAAGGGGACAATTACAATATTATCAAATTGCTACAAGATTCCTTTGGCAAATCAAATTCATTACTTGAAGATCGGCTATTGAAAGAGTTATCATTCTTAAAGGAATTTAATAATGTTTTATTTCATTATTCTAGGAGAGATTGTAATAAGTTAGCAGATTTATGTGCTAACTTAGCTAGTTCCTCTAATTTTTTTTGGCTTGATATTTCTGATAATAAGATTCCTCCTGGTTTTTTTTTGCTTTGTTAAAGGAGGAATGTGATAGTATTACTACCAAATAGTAGTTTCTATTTGATTTATCTTTTATTTATATGCAATTAGAATCTTCTCAAAAAACAATACACTTTGAATGAGAAAAATAAAAAGAAAGAATGTTACAATTTTTGTAAAAAGTTTAACTATAAGATAAATGTCAAGTTGAACATGAAGATGATCTTTTAATCTCTATCCAATTTTAATTTGATTTAAAGTGTGAGAAAAAAATTTAAGGAGATAACATTAGAATGTATTTTTTTTAATTTTATCCTTTAAACCAACATTTTGAATAAGTCAATAATAACTCAAAGATTTTAAGAAGAAATTATTTATTTATTTATTTATTTTAAATAAAAACATAATTTAATTCAAACAATAAAAAAAATTATAAAGAAATTGCAATAATTTCAACACAAAATATTTAAAATAAATTTCATAAATAAAAATTACAAACAACTTAAAACATTACATAAAATGAAAATAACAATCACTTTAATATCCTTGGTGATTTTGATTTGGAGGAGGCTGTGGAGGACTAAACTGAGTAAAGTAGCTCTTTATGGTAGCTACTTGACTATTGAGAAAATTAAATTGTCTACTAATCCAACCCATATCTTCATTATATCTAAAGTCCATCTAGTCCAAGCGAGTCTCAATATTATCAAATCATTGATAAAAATAAGACTCAAGTTGATCAAATATCTAGATTATTTCTTGATAGAAATGCTATTTAGGTCTACGAGCAAGAGTAGGTGTAGGTGTTGTAGTAGGCGCCTTTTCTTCTATAATTTGCTCTCCTTTTTCCCCTTGATCCCGATGAAAGAAAATATGAAATGAGGCCTCAAAGAAATAGATAGGTAGATTATTTGGAGGATTAGGATGAAAGAAATTATACTTCAGTTCTCGAATATACACAAATAAGTGTCCTGAAGCCACATTCTTCTTCCTTCTTATGGCAGGAAGTCTAATAGATATTCTTAAGACATGATGAATGATCCTGGCATTTTGATTCAGTGTGTGAACAAGGGGAAAATGTGAGATTGAAGATATTCCACTAAGAGTTTGCTTGACTTCTGACCAGTCATAGTCACTTCTAGAATTCATGGAGTGTGCCATTACTCCTTGAGTTTTAAGTTGTAAAGAGGTTCCTAAATCTTCCTTAGTAATCTCGACTCTTTGATGAAAAATATATGATGACATTATAGTATTGTTTTCTCTCATCCATAAATTGGCAAGAAAATAATAGTATGTAATATAATGGAATGCATAAATCAGAGTGAGATTGAAAACAAAATGGGTAAAATGAAAGAGGGGCATGATTGGAAAGTTAATGTCTTCTAGAAAAAGAAAACATGAAGGAGTAATATTGGCTCGAACAAACTTGTTCATTTTCTCTGATGAGAAAATTATCTTCTCATTCGGTATGAGATGAAATCCCCTTAGTTTGACGAACTCTGTTACTTCCACTAGCCATTTAAAAAGACTTAGACATGAGGATTTAATATGAAAGAATCATTAAGAAATTCAAAGATGGGCTTCTAATTTAAAGAAAATGAACAATTTCGTACAGTATAAAAATAAGTTCATACATATGATTGGGAGGTTTAGGATAGATATTTGTCTATGGGGACAAATTAAATCCACCTTAGCTAACAAAGGTCTTTGATACAAATAAAAGTTTGTATAGATAATCAAAAACTGTAAAAGCAGTTACTAAAATGAAATGAATTTTTGTAAAGTTATCTTTTTGAGACTCGTTTCATCTGATCTTTGACCAGCCTGAACGTATAGAAAAATAGGCGTTCATCTGGTATGATAAGTTAATAAATATTTTACATGATGGTTGAGTTCGTATGCATGTAGTTAAACAACTAAATGTGTACATACAACATGTGCTCATGCAGACGATATTCAAAAATTAATCAACCTCGAAAGCCCTCCATGTTCATATAGATGATTTTTTGACAGTTCATATAGATAACGATGTGTTTGTATTATACAATCACTATAAAAGATGAAGATTTTCATCTATTTAAATCAGAGAAGGAATCATGTAGAGTCTTGATAATTTGTATAGCACAAAAGTTATTCATACAGTATGAACGAAAATGATCTCTTTGAATTTTCACATGATAACCAAGGTACTTTTCAAAATTAATTCAAACAAGATCTACATCACACAAAAATAAAAACAACAAAAAGATTAATTAGAAACATCAGATAGAGATATGTCAACAAAAAATAAATAATAACAAATAATAAAATACAATCTTAAACAAAAAGGAAACAAACCACAAACATGATTTACAAGTTTATAATTGTCAGGCATGAATATTAATAACACACAAACTTGTTATTAAGGTGCAAAAAGTTTTAAAATCCAAAGGTTTTGTAAAAATGTTTGTAAATTGATTTTCTATTTCTACAGGATGTCGTTCAATTTCTTGTTCATGACATAATCCCTAATAAAATGATATATTATGTTTATATGCTTAGTCTTAGAATGTTAAATTGGATTCTTTCAAATGCAAATGGCACTTGTATTATCATAAAAAAATGAAAAGTATTAATTAAAAAAACCTAAATGCATGAGTTATTCTTTTAACCATTGAACCTGTGCTACACAACTTTCTAAGGCTATATATTCTGCTTCAACTATTGAAAGGGATACTAAATTCTATTTCTATTGAACCAGGAAACTAAAGAGTTTCCAATAAATTTATAAGTTTTACAAGTACTTTTTGATCAATCCTATGTCCTGCAAAATATGAATATGAATATCCAATAATTCCAGAAGAGGTATTGTGCATAGGATACAAAATCCCTAAGTTTTTATTTCCTAAAAGATATCTAAGAATTCGTTTCATAGCAGTCAAATGAGATTCTTTTGGACCAGCTTAAATTCTAGCATAAAGATAAACGCTAAATGTGATATCAGGCCTGCTAGGAGTTAAAAAAATTTATGATCCAATTATCCCTCTAAATTTCTTTTGATTAATAGATTTGCCTTTAGAATACATATCTAATTGAACTGAGGAACTCATTGGGGTACTAATTGGGTTAGCATTATCCATTTCATATTTCTTAAGAATGACCTTAGTATATTTTAATTAACTAAGAAATGTGCCATCCTCTTTCTATTTTATGCTAAAGCTAAGAAAGTAACTCAAATCTCCCATCAAACTCATTTTAATTTCATTACTCATTATTTTTGAAAAATTGTCACAAAGATATTTATTAGTGGATCCAAACAAAATATCATCAAAATATATTTGAAAAATGAGTATGCCACCTCCTACTCTTTTCAAGAAGTGAGTGGTGTCCGCACTCCCTTTAATGAAGGATCTTTCCAGTAGGAATGTACTCAGCCTTTCATACTATGCCTTGGGTTCCTATTTTAATCCAGATAATGTATTATTCAATTTAAACACATTATTAGGAAATTGTGAATATTCAAAACTTGGTGGTTGCTCAACATAAAAATCTTCTTTTATCACCCCATTAAGAAAGGCAGTCTTAACATCCATTTAAAATAGTTTAAATCCCTTAAAATAGGCAAAGGCTAAAATTACTCTAATTGCTTCAAGTCTAGTTATAGGGGGAAAATTTTCCTCAAAAGTAATTCCTTGTATTTGGTTATACCCCTTAGCCACTAATCTTGCTTTATTTTAAACCAGTACACTTTAATCATTCATCTTATTTTTGAAAACCAATTTAGTTCCAATAACACTTTAATTTTTAGGACTTTCTACAAATTCTCAAACATCCTTTCTAACAAATTGATTCAACTCTTCAAGTATGGCTAGAATCAAAGATTGATTAGAAAGTGTTTGATTTACATTAGTGATTTCAATCATTGAAATAAATACTAACTAGTTCTAACTCCCTCACTTGGGTATCCTAAAATAAGTTATTTAGGATAACTGTTAGAATATTTTCATTCTCTAGGCATTATATATTCTATTCCAACCTTCTCTTTAAGATTTACATTTTTTGTTCCTTAGGAGAACTCTTCAACATTCTCTTCTTCCAGCCTAGATTCATCAAAAACATCAGTTTCATCAAAACACTATATATTTTGTCTCCTCTACTACTAATGTCATTTTGTTAAAAAACTCTATAGGAATTGCCAACACTCGAAAATATTCTCAGGTTGAAGGCAATTTTTGAATCTTCCAATTAGCGCATTTCCAGGACCATTTGAATGACATCAATGGATCATAGGCTTCCTCCTACCGGTGTGTCCCTCAATGTTCACCCCACATCCACTTCTGTAAGGAATTTTTAACGACTTCGATCTGGATCTCCTCCTGCTTTTGGAGATGCGGACCTTGATCAAGAACAAAAATCGAGTTTTATGAAGGAAAGACCTCTGATTATTGATAAAGGCGGCTTACTGAATACTGAGAAGAAAACTTTTTTTGTGGGGAAAGGGAAGAATGTTTTAATGGAGAATGTTACATTAAACCAGTCTAAAGCAACGATGTTTGACGATTACATTTCAAAAGTTCTTAATGCTAGCGGGTCCTCTATTCCTTCTGGATTGAGAATGGAGACAAACTTAAATGTTGGATATAAATCCCATGTTATTGCAGCTAAAAGAAATGAAGTTGTTGATTCAAATCCTGTTACTTTTCAAGTACCTGATAATGTAATGAATAAAATGGCAGTGAAAGGCTTATCTAATATTCCTAAAGGACATGTGAATGGAAGTGATGATCAATCAACGATGGACCTGAATAAGGTTTGAAATTTTGACTCAGGGGAGCTGGACAACTATGTTTTGACAGAGGTAAATTCTAATAATGAGCTGAACAATGCCTGGAAGAAAAAAATCTAATATAAATGTGATTGGTTTAAACTTTAGTGAAGATTTCATTAAGAATAATTATGTTGAGAAGCTATATTATGGAAATGAATTAACAAATTCAAATAGACTCCAAAAATCTATGGTTATTAAGATCTTTGGAGATAATATTCCATTCCACATCATAAGCATTGAACTAAGAAGGCAGTGGGTTGTATTTGGAAAGTTTCATTTGACTTTACAGGGAATGGGATGGGTTCTTTGTGCTTTCAATGAACCAGAAGCGGTGGAGAAGGTCTTAATCAGTGGACCGTGGTATGTTAATGGAAACATTATTGGAATTGATAGATGGTCCCCGTCATTCTCTCTGAACTCACTTAAAGGCTTGACTGCACCTATTTTAATTAGAATGCCAAATCTCCATTTACAATGTTGGGATGATATCAATGTATGTATAATTGCTTATATGGTGGGAATTCTTTATCTAATTGATGGAAAAATGTTTCAATGGGGGAGAAGGGAATTCGCAAGGATATATGTTCGTGTGAAGCTTGATGAGAAGCTACACTTGGGAGTGTGGGTTGAAGGGAACTTGGGCAAGCTTTTCCAACCCATAGAGTATGAAAAGTTACCCACATTTTATTTAAATTATGGAAGGATTGGCCATTTAAAAGAAATATGTCCAAATAATGAAGCTGGAATTATCAGGAGAACTAAACAAAGAGAAATCCATGCTGAAAAAATGATATCTAAAGTTGATAATAGAGAGATCAAAGTGTCTGCCTTGAAGGAAAATTTTGATGTTGCTGAAGTCAATAGAGAAGGTTATGGACCATGGTCCATGTGAATTATGGAAAGAAAAGAGCTGTTAATACAAGCTTCAGGAAGAATGAAGATCCAAGGAAAAAAATTACTATTACAGGGAAGGGAAACTTGGTTTCTAATGCTGCTGAGAAGAATGCAGATGTTTTTGCTAAGGAGGATGTGTGGATAACAGTA